AAATAGGCAATAATATTTCTCATAAAATCGAATAAAATTAGGGGTAGGGTCTTGAAATTTCCCAAAAAAAAAAGCATTTTCGGTGGGCCCCCACGGTATATATCCAATAAAAGCATCGGCGAGAAGAGCTGGCGATCACGTCAACAGCTAAGGCGTGTGAACTGGCTGGTTCGCGGAGCTTCAGCCTGGGTGGGGTTAATACATAACTGCTGACCAATCATCATTCTCCCCAGCCTACAACCCTAACACAAATAATTTTTGTTTGCACACTTGAGTACTAAATAAATACCTCAAACCAACCATGGGCCTACTTCCAGCTACCCAAACCATACACCTTTGGCAGCACGCCCACGTCGCACAATGGTCCCGATTCTTGAAAACTCGGGCATGAGGCCAAAAATCGAACATGAGAAAGAATTAATTTAGACACTTGATACGTTTAAGACATACACCCCTCCTCAGCGTGAGTCTTCTTGCCATGGCTAAGGAGCTTAAATGGTGTCATGGTATAGTTCACAGCGCGAATTGTATCATGCCTCCATGAACTAAGAGGGAAGCCTGGTATTGTAGCCTTCGGAAATATTCCTTAACAATCCAAGCTGGAGCGTTGTGGTACTGTTGAAGGATTACCGTACCAACACTACCCAAGCCAAGGTGTGTAGGCCACCGTAAATGAATGGCCAGCGGGTAGCAAAAATGGCTGGTCGCGAACGGTCTCCTCCGATGCCCGGGCAAAGTCGGTTGTAGAAGCACCTTCACTACCCTTCCCGGCTCTGCCAACGAGCGACGAACCCCTTCCGGATTACTCGCGGGCCAATATATATGGAGAACTCAAATAAAAACACAAAACAACAACAACAACAAGTAAGCAGCAAAATACATTCGGCGAAGATACGACGCTGTCAGAGGAAGAAAGACTGCTGAAATACCCCAAGGAACCCCAAAACCCGACAGCCATTTCCACTGGTGGTGCCAGCCAAAGTACTTCAGAAGGAAAGGCTGTTAGCAGCAGCAGAACGGAAGGTTGCAGCCATAGTACCGCCGTTCTTCATATAGATAACTTTAGTACCGGTAGTGCCAGCCATAGCACACCGGAAGAAAAGCCTACCTGTAGCAAAAACGCGGCTGTTGCCAGCAGCAACCATCCGCCAAAGAAGAAGACACCCTCAAACGCGCTTATGAGACTACGCTACCAGAAGGCTCTATATATACTCGATAAAATCGAGCGAAATGCAGCAGCTAGATGTGTAGATGAACGCGATGAGGAAGACAAGCGTAGATATATGGGCATTGTGGAAGAGTAAGAGAGATTCCAAACGGAACCTACCGACGCTATGGCAACTAGCGAGGCCCAAAAGAGGAACCGCTCGCAGAATGAGAGCGGCAATGGGGCTCAACGAAAACACCTAAGGCCAGCTGATGTAGCGGAGTCCGCAACACCCACAAACTATCGCCAATTCAGCGACGTAGCGAGAGACCACCTGCAGACTTCAATCATCAACGAAGGAAGCAGAACCCCGCTGGCAGTGCAGCAAAAATGGGTGGAGATCGATGTGAAGCTATCGAGTTTCGTGATGGACCACGTCCTCGACAACCCCGAAGGTCCCCACCCAGAGTTCGACTCGTCGGAATCCCTAAGGACGCAGGAGGAGGACATTGACATCAGCTTAATACAGGAATATCTTCTGCAAGGGCGAGGTTGGTAAACCATGGGAATGTATTCTTATCAAGAAAGGTATAAATGCATTCCTTTGCTCTCATTTCAATACAGCAGGCACAACAGTAGTTAAGGTGGAGACGGCGAGACAGCAGAGCATCCTGTTGGTGTCATCACACATGTCCCATGATCGAGACAGTCCTCCACCTGAAATCAAAGCCTTAATAGATCGGAACACCAGACAAGCCTCGGTTATTGGTTGTGATGCAAATGCCAGGCACCTTGTCTGGGGCAGCACAATGGTTAACGAGCGAGGGAGTCCCTCCTACACTGTGTACTAAATACCAATCTTAGTATATGAAAAAGAGGCAATAGACCAACCTTTATCTTCCCAAGTTCAGACCGGTTTTCTGGATGGGAGGAGGTGTTGGACCTAACACTAATATCTGAGAATAATGGCGTTACCGTCCAGAATTGGAGAGCTTCCGACAGGCCATCGATGTCCGATCACTGCTGGATACTCTTTAATCAACGCGGTTTATCCTATACCCCCTCCAAATACAGAAACCTACGGACAACCAATTGGGTGAAATATGATAAAATTCTAACTAAGGAAATAGCCAAAGGTAATGTGAGAGGAAGCATAACCTCATCAAATGAGATAGAACGAAACGTAAGCAATTTAGAGAGGGCGATGACCAAAGCCTATGAAAAATCGACCCCATGGAGTGTCATGAAAAATAAATCCCCGCCCTGGTGGAATGGGGAGCTTAGAGCTCTTAGGAATAGTGTTAGAAAACTTTGTAACGAGTGCTTTAGGTCCAAGAAATGGGACCCTTACAAAAAAGCCTCAAAATCATACAAAAAAGAACTGAGGAGGGCAAAAGCTAATTCCTGGCAATAGAGAATGTCAGAGACTCGGCCAGGTTAAGCAAGATACTCTCGCCTTATTAAAAGGACAAATGATATATGGACTAGCTCCATTGATGAAAGCGTAGAAATGCTAGTTCAATCCCACTTCCCAGGCTGTAAACAGCATGCAGCAACACTAGGTGGAACAGAACTTCCAAGCACACCTAGCAGGGACCTCGAATCAATAATAAGCATAGAGATGATCACCTATGTAATAAATAGTTTCTCTCCATTTAAATCCCCAGACCCGGATGATATTATACCGGCCATGTTACAACAATCAAAGAAGCGAATAGCGCCGCTTCTTCTAACTCTTTATAGAGCCTGTATTAGTATGAACTATGTATGTCCTCCTGAGTTGGAAACGAGTAAAGTAGTGTTTGTCCCAAAACAGGGTAGAAAGAACCACGAAACGGTAAAGGACTTTAGACCCATAAGCCTGACTTCCTTTCAAGCAATATACTTTAGCAACTTTCCTAGATATAGAGAGCGCCTTCAACAACGTTGAAGCTGACACCATCATACAATCGCTTATAGTGATTGGTGTGGACGGCGGTGTGGTTGGCTGGATACGCTCTATGCTGGAAAGCAGAATCATTCAGGTCAAAAGCGGAGATAATATAGTAACTAAATATGTGAGCAGAGTTACTCCTCAGGGAGGCGTACTCTCACCACTCTTGTGGGTGGTAGCGTTGAACGGCATATTGCTGGAACTCAATAGAGGAGGGGTTAAAGTAGTGGCATATGCTAACGATGTAGTGATAGCAGTCACAGGCCTCTTCCTTTCTAATGTAAGTGAAATCTTAGAGGAGGCACTGGGTAAACTACACACATGGGCTAAATGTAGTGGCATTAACGTTAACCACAGCAGAACCGAGTTATTACTGTTTACAAATAGAAATAAGATACCCCAATTTAGACTTCCTTCCATAGGCGGAAAGGCAATCCCCCTATCATCCAATCCAAAATATCTGGGAATCATCCCCGCCAAAAAAGGGGCCAAGGCGGTAATTAGTTGTGGTCCATCAGGTCTCATCGTACGCAGAGATAAATAGTGCTACGACCTAAACATTTTGAAGTCTCTAAGTAATCTGTATGCGTTAATATCATGAAGCAGACATTCGCACAAAACAAATTGAAACATAAAAATTTGATTTTGAATATTTTGTTTGAATTTGTATTTAAAATCAAACAACCGTCAAAGTTAACTCCAAATGCTCAATGTGGACGATTGTGTTTTACAAAAAGCTCGTTTTCATTTAACAAGTTAAAGGGGCAAATTTGAACATAACGTAACGTGAATAAAAGCCAAACGAGGGTTAAGGCGCTGGCGCAATGCAGGCTTGCTTTGCACGCCTTGCTTACTTTAATTTGCTTTGATTTACTTCAAAAACTCGTTTGGCCAAATGGCGGCTTGGAACGCTGTCAAAGCAACCAGCTGTGTAGTTAAAAAGTCAAGGTCTGTTTCCTTACACTAAGAATAATTTTGCCATCAAATTCCGGAAAATTAAAAAAAAAGAAATACAAAACAAACTTTTCACATTTATTTTTAAATGAATGTGAATTAATTTTTGCATTTCAAAGGAACGACAATAATTAAACATACATATATATACATATGTACATTTATTAGAAACAAAAAACTCAAAAAAAATCGATTTTTCAAGAGACGACTTACCAGTAGTTTCGACATCATAAATATCGCTAGATTTGTGAGAAAAGTTGATAAGTCTGCTTTTTATGAAGCCTCAAGTTTTGACAGAGAAAGTAAGAGAAATTAAGGACTAAGCTACTTGATTCATTTTTTCTCGTTTATATTCAATGAAAGATAAATTTTATAAGTCCAAAAGAGGCCCCGAATATGCAATAAGGCCAAAATAATACGAAATTTTTTAACAGAGATCGAATCCTGACTTGTATGGATTTTGCTTTGCTTTAAACACGCAAAATATTGTATTCAAAGTTCCTGTAAAATTCGTAAAATTGGACTTAGCAACTTTTCACTTTAATCCAGCGACATGTTAAATATAAATATGGAAACATAGACTACTTTTTATTAAACTTTGAAGCTAATTTTTGTACAAAAAAGTCTGCAGCAGTTTGTTTGAATTGATTTAGAACGGGAACATATCTTTTTGTCAAAAGCCTACGAAACGCTTTCAAATAAAACATTTGCCTATTTGAAACTTTGAGGCGCTTAAAGCAAGTGAAGCAAAGCTGCCATTTGGCCACCCTTCATACGTTTTAGTATATTCCAAATAACTTTTGACAGTTTTCAAAGCTAAGCAGGCAAAGCAAGCCTGCATTGGGCCAGCGCCTTTACTGTAAAAAATATGTATATGAATTGTTTACGTTTTAGTTTTCAAATAAGCGTATGTCAGATATTTATTCCACTTTGTTTAATACATTTGGATTTTATTGTTAGTTATACCTGAGCAGAGCCGCCTATGGCCAAAACTGTACTGAGGTCAGCACCTTGCATCACCAATCGATCCAGCACAATATCAATTGCTTTCACCCACATTACGGGTTGCACGAACACTCTTGAAATATATCGATTAAGGACAAGTCGTTTTTTTATAAAGGTTACTTACTCATGTTTCGTTGAACTAGAATTAGCACCACCGCTTGTACGAAATTCAGGCAAATCAGAGTCAAACTTCACCTCAGCAATTGCAATTACCTCTAAGTTAGAAGACAACTGAACAGCTTTAAGCTAAAATAAAAAATACAAATAAAACGTTACTATCATACCTCCTTTGCTACACAGAAAAAAATATAACTTAAAGACACTAGAAGATCATGATGCAATAATAAAAGGTATTGTGTTGGCAACTTCTCGCTCTAGTCCGCCATCTTGAGCTGCTTTAGGAAATTCCACCTGCCTCTACTACTACTTGTTATTTTACATGGAATTACCTGAAAAAGTATTAAAAACGGTAAACACAGAAAGAAACACATAACCCTGCCAGCCAAAAGTAGTGAAAAATCTGGTAAAACCGCGGGTTTCATTCACTTCAAAACTGGTGAAAATTCTGGCGAGTTTTGTATGGGCGGTGTGCAGATTTTCACCTCTCTGACTCCTCCAGCACTCATTCTGATACTTCGTAAGGAAAACATATAGCTGCACTCGTCTAGCATTGCCACCTTCAGCCGGCGCAGGGTTGCATTTTCTTCACAGCGAATTCAAAATAACCTTAGAAACTTTAAATAAAAAATCTTAAAATTTGTTTGATTGTTATTTTGCAAAATTTATTTTTCAAAATGCATTGTTAACCTAATATACATACATAGTTAGAAATCAATATTATGAATAAAAATTATAATTAACATTAATAATAAAGATAATTTTACATACATAACAGGTTGCTTAATTGATTATTATTACTACTACTCCTTTGCATATAGCTGTTTTCAAAAGTTGCAAAATTTCTATAAAAAAGTTAAGCGATTTTAATAATACTAGAGTGCCATTTACTGTCGAAATTCGACAGTTTTTCTAGTTTTAGAAGCCTTGGAGAGGTTTTCTATCTTAACACGTAGCAAAACTTATACGGTACAAATTAACTAACCGGAAAATCTTCTTCTAAAACGTAACTAAATTTGTCTTATCTGAAAAGGTCTTTGGAGGACTTCGGCATGATTTGGAATTGACCCGATACATTCAAGTTTATCGATAAATTTCAATGATTTGATACATATCGATAGTTCGATGAATTTCACTAAAATTCGATAACTCAACTAAATTCGTTAACTCGACCAATTTCGGCAACTGTGAAATTCGATGGCTCGATAAATTTCGATAACTCAAAAATATAAAGACTTTGGATACCTTTATAAATGTTTATTTTTGACATTTCCACATTTTTTCGAAAACTATCTAAACATTTTGATAACTCCTTACACTCTGTTAAGACGATTAAATGCGATAAGCAGTGATAAATCGATAAGCTAATATAACCTTGAAATTTCAATAAATCGATATAATTTGAAAATTCCATAAACTTCGCTTCGTTGAACCAACCAAATTCAGTAGATCAATAATTATCGATAACTCTGTAAGTTGAAAGACCTCCATGCATTACGACATCTCGATATATTTCGTTAAGTCTATAAATAATGATAATTCAAGAAATATCGATAACTTGATACATTTCTTTAACTTGACAAATTTCGTTAATCTCACACGTTTTTATAGCTCGATAACTACCCGTAAATTTGGACAACTAAGTTTCTGTGTCTATAAATTGCGACAACTCAGTAAACATTGATCAGTTTGAATAATTCGATACGTTGCGATAACTTAATAAGCATGGATAAATTTCGATAATTATAAACTTCGATGATTCGATAAATTTCAGTAACCTTTATGGCTGATTTTATTTCGATTCCTATCGCAAAATTTCAACTCTGTTAACCAAATTCTTATGTATTCTCATTGTCTCCATTTTCGCCTTTATCTCAATTTTCCTCTTTGTCTTCACTTTTGCCTTTTTTTTTTGTCTTCATCGTTATCACTTGTTTCTCCATCTTCATATTTATCTTTATTTCAAAGTGTCGAGGACATGGACACTAACTTAATCCAGCTCGATTCGATCGATTATTATATCGATAAGAATATCGAGTTTTATATCGATAACAATATCGATCTTCATCCTCATCCTTTTCTTCATATTTATCTTTATTTTTGCATATTCCTCTTCACCTTTACCTTAAAGTGTTTAAATTTACTTTGATCTTCGTTTTTGCCTGTACCTCTAGGCATCTTTGTTTTTGTTTTTATTCTCAAACCGGTAAACCGCTGAGAACCATTTCCATGTGCATTATTCCCCTCGAATTTGACGATTTACTCCCAACCAACTGCCGCTAAAGAAGTTTCACTTCATAAATTCAAGAAATGTTCTTACCCTTTCAGTTACCCTAATTCTTATGTATCTGTCATTGTCTCCATTTTCGTCTTTATCTTCACTTTTGCCTTCTTTTTTTTACTTCATCGTTATTATTTATTTCTTCATCTTCCTATTTATCTTTATTTCAAAGCTTAATTTCAAATGTGTACTGAAACAACAGGCGAAACATGTCAAATTGAACATATTGCAGCAACATCTATACACAATTCGAAAATGTTTAAACGACGGTTTTGGCCGTAATTTTCAGCCAATTGTGAAACCATAAAAACTCAACTGAGAAAAATGCCTTTCCAACGGTGTTCTTGGTTTTGAAATCGGTTCGGTAGAATCGCCAAACGAACGGAGACAAAATTTATGTTAGCGTATTAATATATAGAGTGCCAGTTACTGTCGAAATTCGACAGTTTTTCTAGTTTTAGAAGCCTTGGAGAGGTTTTCTATCTTAACACGTAGCAAAACTTATACGGTAGAAATTAACTAACCGGAAAATCTTCTGCTAAAACGTAACTAAATTTTTCTTATCTGAGAAGGTCTTTGGATATGTCATACGATGTCATATCATGTGATGTCATGCCATATAATGTGATGTCATATCATATGATGTCATGTCACGTGATATCGTGTGATGTGATATCATATTATGTGATGTAATATATTGTGATGTCTCATTATATCATGTGATATTATGTGATGTGATGTCATGTAATGTGATCACATTCCATGTTCCGATTATTAAATAGGTAACCCTGTCGATAACTGTTTCAATAAAAATACCGATAACAATATCCATACACATATAGAAAAATACAATGATTATAAAATCGATTAACTCAGCGATAAATATAACAATCGTCAGTATCGATTATTGTACATAGCGTTAACAATATAAATGTGGGAAATGATGTACGCGGCCATCGACATACAAACATACAAGTATGACAGTGGGGACCCGTACTAAGACTGATCGACGAATACAACACTAACCAGGATTGAACGGACCACACTGAACATACTCAACTATAGACTTCACTAGACAAACGAAGGACAGCAATACGGCAGATTGTATTTGACCGCCTTCAAGCGAAGTTGTTAAGCTAGTCGTAGCATTTAAAGTTAAAAATGATATGTAACCGTGTGTGTGCGAATAAACGTCCAGTTTTGTAAACATTAAAAACGCGTTTTAATTAAAGACTAAGAGGATTGGGAAGGCAATTCCTACAAGTGGTGTCATGAAGTGGCATAAAATCCACTCCTGTGAGTTAGCAAAACATTAAAATAAGCTGTGCGTACAACTATGCAAATAAGCGTTTATACATGTTATACATATGTGTTTTGTGTGTGCCGTGCGATGTGCTAGCCAAAGTTTCATTTACTGCAGTGATTTAAAAATTACACACGATCATCAAATCGCCCAATCCGTTTAGTAAACTATTTTGAGAAATTAAATTGACAAAAACGCAAGTAATTGTTCTGGTGTACTTTGAGCTAGCCACGCCACACAATCAGCTATTTTTGTCAAATATCGCCGGCAAGCGGTAAAATAAAAATTGCGACAAATAAACAAGTGCATAAAACGGTAAATACGCCAAGCAGTAGTGGTTGCGCCGCTTAACAAAGCGCTAAGCAAGAAGCGCCAGCATCGGAAGAGGCGCCAGCATCGGAAGAGGCGCCAGAGCCAGGCAGCGCCGAACAACAGCAGCAGCGAATAGCGTCGGCAGAAGTAGCGGCATTGTGGGCACAGCAGCAGCATACGACAGCGAAGTCGAAGAATTGAAGACAGCGGCGAGGGATGAAACAGCGCAGTGCAGCTAAGTAGTTTTAGCGTATACATACTTACGTACATATTTACATGTTAAGGTAGTAAAAGCAATATATACACGAATTTGCTGGTAATACGCCGTTAGAGTTAGCGCTATTTTGTTCACGCCACTGGCGGTAGTTTTGTATTTGCAATTGCAATTTTTTCATTTTATGTGTGCGGATTTACATGTGCGAGGGTAATGCGGTACAGTCACGCACACAATAATAGAAATAATTGAACAAATGATTATTAGGAAATTAAATGAAACAAATAACTTGAGTATTTTGTGTATAAGTATTAAATGTATGTATGTTAAATACCGAGAAGTTTAAACATTTTACCACATCGATTTAAATAATAGAAATTTTAATTGATAATATTGTAAGACATGGACCGTGATGAAATTTTTAGCTTGACGGTTGACGGTCTTAGGGAAAAGTTGGGCGGTTTAGGTTTGTCGACTAACGGACGGAAAGCGACGTTGCAGGACAGGCTGCTGGAACACTTCGGCCTGAATGTGAGCGACGGCGATTATACCGATTTCGATGACGCTGCAAGTAGGCGAAGCGTACGTGGGTCCGTGGCTGAGCGTCCAGCATTCACTCTTCGAGACATTGAGGACTCGTTGTCCAAATTTAGCGGGTCTGGTCAGCCGATATTTGAGCAGTGGCTGGAGGATTTTGAGGCCAACGCAATGGCTGTGCAGTGGAGCGACCTTCAGAAATTCATCTACGCCAAGCAGTTGCTGAAGGGTGGAGCAAAACTTTTTATTAGAAGCCAAACTGGAGTTAGCAATTGGGATTCTCTAAAATCCGCTCTGCGCTCGGAGTTTGGCGTCACCATGTCGTCGGCCGAAATACACCGCGTCCTTCGGAAGCGCCACCAGCGACCAGGCGAAGATCTGCGGGAGTACTTATATGCAATGATGGAGATCAGCAAACCAGTCAGTCTCGATGATTCCAGTTTGATCGAGTATTTCATCGAGGGGATTTCAGATAATCGCGC